CGGCGCCGCCCGCCTGCGCCCCGCCCCGGGCGACGCAAGGCCTGGGCGATCCGCCGCCGTGACGTCATGGGGTCGCCCGCTCCCGAACCGACGCGTGAGACTGCGCGCCGTGGGTGTGACGTCACGGAACCGCCCGCCCCAGGCCCCGCCCCAAGCGACCAAGGGTCAATGCGCTCCGCCGTCTTGACGTCATTGGGTCGCACGCGCCCTGAGTCCACGCACGGAGGCTACGCGCCGCGGGTATGACGTCATGGCGCCGCCAGGCCCGCACCCTATCCCGAGCTTTAGGTGGGTGATTGTGCTCCGCAGACGTGACATCATGGAACGCGCCCGACCCTGCACCCAGCCACCGTTACTTGTCCCCACACAGGGGACAGCCCAAGACCCCTGCAGCTCTCCTATCCCCAGCGGCAGTCTCATCCTCTCTATTCAAAAGTTCATTCATTCATCTCATTGAGTCCATCATTCAGCAAGCGCTGAAGAGAGACTTATGAAATAGTATGACTCCCTCTCCTTCCTTTAGACTGAGACATTTACAGTCTGGCAAAGGGGACACACACGTCGGCCACGTGTCCACAGCGGACGGACAGAGGACTTAGGAACCTTGGGGATGTCTTTACAAAAAGAATGTGGGCAGAGGGCAGTCCGAGCACGCAGACATTGTTTAGAGCAGTAGAATATTGCACCCAGAGGCCAGAGGGACCGAGTAAACGGATGAATGGACGGACACACGTGTCAGGGGAGGCTTTTCATTATGGCAGAAGGCGAGGAAGAGCCCTGTGGAATTGGAATTACAGGGTAGTGAGTGCCTCGTCCCTGGAGGTGTGTAAGAAAAAGCTGTGTGGCCCTTTGTCCTGAAGAAGCTTTTCCTAAATACCGCGAGTCTGTAAGACCTCCAAGTTCTCTGCGTTCAGAAATCTCACATCAGGCGTTTGTGGCATCAGAGAAGCAAGCGGTTGCTGTCCGCGGTGCTGAACGCTGTCTCCCAATCTGAGACTACAATTCCTGATACCAAGCTGGTTTTCCTTTATGTTCCACGTGAGTATTTTTAAATTCCTCTATGCTATCAACCTTTTAAGGTAAGTACTTGTTATTATGAAAAACTCCCAATGTATACAAAATATAGACAATAGTATAATGAATTTCTTTCTATGCACCCAGTATCCAATGTCAGCTGTTACCAACACATGTTTCATCACCTCTCACCCACTCTTCCCCACTAAGGTTACTTGGAAGCAGGTAATCCCATATTTGCAGATGTCGCCGCAATAGCATCACATAAGCCCAGGCTCAGATTAGCACCTACCAGCTGATGGGTACATACCTCTTGTTACAGATGACATTGAGCATGTCTGAAGCACAGGATGATGGCTCAGGTAGGTGGTCATGCCCATGGGTGGCACTCAAGGACACCACTGTCCAAGAATCACAGACTCCAATTACACCTGTGTCCAGACAGGGCACAACTAATTTAAATCGAATCTCTGCAGGAGAGGCCTGACCCTTAGTGTTTCTACTGAGGCCTCTAGTGTGCACACAGGGTTAGACAAGTCTGACCTGGGCTTAGATGCTAACTTTCCCACTGACTGGCTGTGTGGCCTAGAACAAGGTACTTCATCTCTTTGAGCCTGATTCCTTGGTTTAATTTTTCATGGGCCACCCCCATCCTATCTTTGCACCTATAGTCCCCTGGAATGATTTTCCTCCCAACCCAAATTCTAGGGATCCATAAAGACCAAATACAGAAACCAGTCCCTCTGTGACTAACTCCTTCCTGAAATCATTTCTTCCCTCTGAACTCCGTGGCATTCATTGTCTGTGTTAGTGTCTCAGAGCAGAGCTGGAAAATACTCGGAAACAAGTTAATCCAAGCCCCTGATTTTAAAGACAAGGTGATGGAGGAACTGGTTGAGGAAACGACTTGCTTGGCATCACAGGGCAGGTTCAGGGGGAAATAGTCCAGGGCCCTTTCTGCTGCTCAGAGCACAGGCTTGGATGTTTTTAGCTCTACCACCTGCCAATTCATGTAACCTCTCTGAGCTTCAGTTTCTTCATCAGTAAAATGGGTAGAATCCTGTCTACCTCCCATGATTGCTGTAAGAATGAGATGAGATGATGGGTTTTGTAAACTATAAGGTGATGTGAAGCTGTGAGAGTTAGTGTCATCATTGTTTCTAGGTGTTGTTGCGTCGGTTCCAACTTATAGGGAAGGCACGTACGAAAGAACAAAACATTGCCAGTCCTGTGCCGCCCTCTTGCTATGTTTGAGGATACTGTTACACCCAGGGATGTAGATAGAGGAACTGCTTGGGGGCAGGGCTCTGCCTCAGGCATCAGACAGTTGGCACTCGGAAGCCAGGGAGACAAGCAATAGTTTAGCCTCATTAGTAAAGGATGGATCTTGAGTCGCGTGCTCTTGTAAAGAACTATCCATATGGGCTCCAAATGACCGCAGCAACTGGAAAGATTAGACAGCAGTCTTGGGGGACAGTGACTGTAGGTCAATGGCGGGTGAATTAATTCTGAAAAAGAGGGTGAGAATGGTTCCCCTTTCTTGGAATGGAGGTTGTGGCCACCCAGGACTGTGGCCTCCGATGGCAGCTGCTGTAGCTCCTCCATGGTCCCAGGACCCAGACTCAGCCCTGGCGGGGATGCTGGGCTGACAGAGGAAGGAGGTGGAACCAGGACTTAATGCACCTGGTGGAAGGCCATGGCTCAGGGGCCAGAAAGGTCTCTGCCATCCCCCAGGCCTGGGGTCTAGTCTCAGCTCCCCTGTGTTCTCTCTGGACCACCCCTGTGTGTGGGGGGGTGTGTGGGTGTGGGTGATGCGAGGCTCAGAGGAGGCCCAGTTAGGAAGCACCTTGGCTGGTCCCCAGCACACGACAGAAGTGTTATCAATGTCCCTTCACTCCCCACTCTTTCCTCCCTGAGCAGTTGTTGTCATGTGTGTCATCAAGCCAATCCTGACTCACAGCGCCCCTAGAGGACAGAGCGGAACTGCCGCAGTGTTCCCTAAGCTGTAATCTTTATGGGAGCGGATTGCCTGGTCTTCTCTTCCACAGTGGCAGGTGTGTTTGAATCACTACCCTTCCAGTTAGCAGCCACGGCCTTAACCATCGTGCAGCCATCCTGCTCCCTGCACAGGAGTCCCTGTCACTGGATGTAGTCTATAGGAATTGGATCCTCTCAAACAAGTGCTGTCGTCCTCATTTTATGCAGGGGAACACTGAGGCTCTGAGAGGTGGGACACTTGCCCTGGGTCACACCAATGCTGAGTGGCACATATGGGACTCGAACCTGTGTCAGGCTGATCTCTCTTCCATTCTATAGACTCCCAGAGGGCTATGCCAGGAGGTAACAAGCCAGGAGACCCTGACCCAGGTCGACTTGGGAGGGGGCGTCTGCACTGTTAGCTGCCCCATCTCCAGGCTCAAGGAAGGACACAGCACTGTTGGTGGACAGTGGCTCAGTGAAATCCACAGGTGGGCTTGCTCAGGCCAAGTTCTTTCATTCTGGGGATACATCAATAGGGACAGTGGCCAGGAAGTAGGAAGTGAGAGGCAACTTAGGTCCGGTGCTGGTCACATCACATCTGGAGTAGTACCTGACACCATGCTCCCACAGGGGGAGGGGCTGGGGCTTACTTGAGCTGTATGGTTGGGTGGGGGGTGTCCATGAAGAGTATTCATAAAGCCTGGGGCTGTTCACCTTCCTCACTTTCCTGCCCCTGGGTGGAGGGAGCAGGCAAGGTCTGTGGGCCCAGAGAGCAGAGCTAGAACCAATGGGGGAAGGCCCAAGGTAGTCCAATTTTAATGCTGTGAGAGCCATGTCTAAGCATTAAATAAGATAGCAACTGGGAAAGTGCTTGTAAACGGTGAAGTGCAGTAGGAGAGGCTTGTGAATGGCCTCTGCAGCTGTCAAGTTGTTCGCAGATGACGTTGATGCATGAGCCACAAGTAGTAAAGATTGGAGGGAAGCTTTGAGAGGTGACTGTTAGAAGCAGTTGAAATCTTCAACCAAGTAAGATGCCATGAACAACCTGCTATTTAGCAAGGGAGGAGGATGGAGAGAGGCAGGAGTGGCCAACTACCATCCCCTGGTCTGAGACACCAAATGGCAGCAGCAGGGACAGGTATGTCCTCACATCAAAGCCCCCATGAGGGAAAGATCAGGGAAGCTTGGGTACCTGTGGGAATAGAGGCCTAGGGTCCCTGTGTTTGATCACAGAGATGAGGGCCGAAGACAAGGGACTGGGAATATTCCCAGAGGCCTCCAAGGCTCTGGATCCTTCACCTGGAGACTCAGGTGGCCAGGCGGCCCCTCCCCACTGGCAGTGGAAATCCAACACCTGGCAGTGGGGACAGAGCATGCCAACTCCATGGGTCACCGGGCCTTGGGGATTGTCTGATCTGAGATGGGACAGCTCCCCTCCTGTTGCAGGGGACAGTATCTGTCCCTGCACCCCACCCAGGTGAGAACAAGAGCTGGCAGAGGCCAGCTAAGCCCTGGTGGATTCTGGAGAAGGCTGGGAGTGGGGGGCTCCGTTACCCTTTTACTCTGCCCCTCCTCTTTCCCAATCTATCCCTCTGCCCTCTTGAGTCTCCTGCTCTCAGTCCTCCAGTGGCTGCCAAAACCCAAACTCCTACCAGGCTGACAGTGCCCCTGCCCCAGCCTCTGCTGGCCTCCTCACCTCATCTCACAGTGCCCTGCCCATTTGCAATTTCCTAAACACAGCAACCTCATGCTCATCAGGGTCCATCTACCCAGCCAGGGCTGAGTTTGGGCCCTGCCCCCACTGAGGACCAGGGCTTGGATTAACTTGTTTCCAAGTACTTTCCAGCTCTGCTCTGAGCTCCTAACACAGGCCACACCCAGGGAAAGTCCTACTCTAT